ATGAAAGATAGAGGGGCCATTGTTGTGGCATGGCCAGTTAAGCTACCACATGGGGTATCAGGATGCAGGTTTGGAAACCTGGCTATTCTGTTTCCTTTCCAGCTTCTTGCAAATGGATGATGGCCCAAATACAAAGGCCCCTGCCCCCTATGTATATGACCTGGATAAAGTTCCTGGTTCCTGGCTTCGTCCTGGCCCAGCATTGACTCTTCCAACCATTTGGGGAGTGAATCAGTAGATGGAAGATCTTTCAATCTCCCTCCATAGTTCTGCCTTTCAAATAAATAAATAAATAAATCTATCTTCTAAAAAAAGTAAAGAGGTTTCTTTCAGTGTTTAATGTCTTGGTACATAGATCTAGAAGACTATGAAGAAATAATTTAAATAATCATTAAAATGACAATGAGATGTGATTTTGAGTTTCTATTGTAATTAAAGTTTGGAGGGTTAATTTTGTGATTATAAAATAAATTGAAAGTATGTCAGTGTAAAAAGTAAAAGAAAAATAAAGAAGGAGGAAGGAAGGTGGGAACATGGGCAGGAGGGAGGGTAGGGAGGGAAGTGTCATTATGTTTTTAAATTTGTGTAAATGAAATTTGTTCACCTTATATAAATAAATAAAAACAAAAAGTTTAATAACCTCAATTGTTAGACTCCTATTAGGAAATGATTATCTTACACATTTTAATATTCAAAATTAAGTGTTGATTATTTATTATAATAGTCTTCTGTCGCTCCCCCTCTTCGTGGAGGAACGACACAGGTCCCTGCGCTGTTCTTTTGTCTGCTCGGCCCTTCCCTGGTTAGCTGCTGGTTCTTCCCGGGTTGGCTACTGACCCTTCCACCTCCATGGAATGGAGGTTCCCCCTGCTACTTTCCCCACTTCCGCGGGGGAGCGGCACACCACCGGCCGGCTCTCTCGGGGGCTGCACAGGTTTTCCTTCAGATAGATGTTCCTCTTAGATGTTCCTGGTGCATGTTGTCTCTCTCCTCCTTTATAGTCCTCTTCCACCAATCCCAACTCTGCTACCCACACGCCGAGTACGCTGCTCTCCTCCAATCAGGAGCAGGTCCTGCTGCTTATTGGTTGAACTGGAGACAGCTGCGTAGAAGCTGTTTCCTCCTCTCCCAGCGCCATATTGTGGGAGAGCAGATGCATAGAATAAGTCTTAATTCCAGTAACTAGTCTAGTCCGAGTTGCTCCCCACAGTTCCCCCTTTCTTTTTATTTTTGGCATTGATATGCGCCTGTCTTTGGTGCCCCACAGCACACACTCTGCTCTGCTTGCTAGAGTTGCCCACAGGTGCTTACAAGCCCTACCAATCAGGCAAACCGAATCTGGGTCCTCTCTTCACCATGTTGTGAGGAGGTTTTTAGGCGCTGATGCGTGCCTGTGTTCGGTGCCCTGCAGTGCATGCTCTGCTAGAACTGCCTGCAGGTGCTTACAAGCCCTACCAATCAGGCAAACCAAATCTGAGCCTTCTCATTGCCATATTGTGGGGAGACTTATTGATGTTAATTCGTGCCTGTCTTTGGTGACCTGCGGCGCATAAGCTGCTAGCTGCCCGCAGGTGCTCACCACCTCCCTAATCAGGCAGACCGAATCCAAGCTCTCATTGCCATGTTGTGGGGAGGCCTTATTTTTCTCTATTTCTCTATCTCCGGGCATTCCTATCTCTCCTATTTTACTTCTATCTGCCAGCATTCCTATTTCTCTCATTTTACTTCTAAACTTCTGTTTCTCTTATCCTGGTGGCTTCCTGGCACCCGCCCCGAGGCTGCTTCTCAGCGCCTCGCCCTGCGGCGACTTCCCAGCTCTGCGCTGCTTCAGCCTGTGCTTCTCTCATCTGCGCGGCTTCCCGGCGCCCGCCCGGCTCTGCGCGGCTTCCCGGCTTCGTGCGCCCTTCGCGCCCGCACCACGGCCTTCGCACCAGCTCCGCGTTCTCTCTCTACTCGCGCCTCGTGCGCTATCCCTGTTCATGCCCCGCGTGCTCTCTGCGCGCGGCGGCTTCCGTGAGTCACACAGCCTAGCTCACGTTTCCGCCACTGGTATTCAGTCTAAGTTCCACGGGCTAACCTGGTGAATTCAACCTAGCTCACGTCTCCGCTTCGGTTTGGCTTCCCGTCTTTTGCTCCCCGGGCTAATCTGATGGATTCCAACCTAGCTTACGCGTCTCCGCCTCTGGTTTTAGCTTTTCGCCTTTTGCTCCCTGGGCTGACTTGACGAATTCCAACCTTAGCTTACGTCTCCGCCTCGGTCTGCCCCCGCGGCTTCATCCTCCCTAACATTTTTCTCTACCCGGTATGTTTCCTAACTTTTCTTCCAACAATATTCCCCTCTCATTTCTCCTGGCTTCTCCCCACAGTCCGTATCCGAGTCTAAGTTTCTTCTAGGTTTCACTTTTGCTTTCAACCATAGATTTCTCCTAACTTCCCCGCCATAGTCCGCATCCGAGTCTATGTTTCCTCCAGCTTTCAATTTCGCTTTCAATCCTAACTTCTTCCGGCACTTCTTCCGTCTGGCTTTTCCCTAGGCTCTTCCCTAGTCTCTCTCTCTGGTATTTTCCCACTTCTTCCCGCTTCTTCCCTCCTAGGCTTCCTATCTGAGTCATGGCACCATTATGTCGCTCCCCCTCTTCGCGGAGGAACGACACAGGACCCTGCACTGTTCTTATGTCTGCTCGGCCCTTCCTGGGTTAGCTGCTGGTTCTTCCCGGGTTGGCTACCGACCCTTCCACCTCCGTGGAAGGGCGGTTCCCCCTGCCACTTTCCCCACTTCCGCGGGGGAGTGGCACACCACCGGCTGGCTCTCTCGGGGGCTGCACAGGTGTTCCTTCAGATAGATGTTCCTCTTAGATGTTCCTGGTGCATGTTGTATCTCTCCTCCTTTATAGTCCTCTTCCACCAATCCCAACTCTGCTACCCACACGCCGAGTACGCTGCTCTCCTCCAATCAGGAGCAGGTCCTGCTGCTTATTGGTTGAACTGGAGGCAGCTGCGTAGAAGCTGTTTCCTCCTCTCCCAGTGCCATATTGTGGGAGAGCAGATGCATAGAATAAGTCTTAATTCCAGTAACTAGTCTAGTCCGAGTTGCTCCCCACAGTCTTCATGAATTTCATTTAAAATTGTTCATGCTCTTTACTGTGCATATATCTCCCATTATTTCATGAGGTGAATATGTTGTAAATAAGGAAAATGAAGCATGGACAAGCTGTCTACCTAAAGCTTCTTGTCTTTTGATGGTAGAGTAAGTTGGTGCTGTTATGTCTTCCTGGATAATTTATGATAAAGCGTTCCTCCTGAATCTGGAGATGGGATTTGGTAACTGTTGGTGTTGTATGAATTTTTTGATCAAATATTTTTTTCTCCAATACTAAAGAGACCTGTTCCATCTGAGACCAAAGAAAGGAATAAAATTTTATAGCTTGTATTTTTTCATACCTCAGATTTAGAAAAGCATGTACATGTTAACCAAAAATGCCCATGGGAGAATCCTTGTTACCGGAGTTACAGACTGAGTTTTAATATTTAACTATTAGTTTTATTGAAAAGTAGATTTCAAGTGAAACATACTAGATCATTAGCATGTCACTTTTTTTTGAAAGAAAATAACAAACCCTAAGGTGATGTAATCTTTGGATTTGCACATGATGTAATTCTCCTTTTGTAAGTAAATATATATATATATATAAAAACATATATATGGATATATATCTGCATATATATTCACACACATGAAATCATATGTATATATACATACATATACTCTTTGTTATAATGCTTAATAAATACCACTTTATGTGATATTGAAATTTGTTTATGGTTTGTACTGATTGTAACAAGCAGAAGAATTTCTGTTCCTTTGTGATATGTCAGCTGCCATTAATTTAAAGAACTCTGTCTCAGCAAATTGCACTTTGATGTTTTTATTTTGAGACAAATCTTAATGAAATATTTCAAGTATCTTTGTATTTAATACTGTTTATTCCAAATATAGTTGTAAATTTTTTTCATTTATGTTATTCACAATTTATGCATCTGTTGCTATTCTATCAAATGTAGCAAATAAGATAAGATTATTTCTGGTCTGATTTATTTACTTTATATATTGAATCTTGTTAAGTAGTTATTGCTCAATGTAGTATAAATAAAGCAAATATATGTGTGGTATTAATTTGATACAATACTTTATCTCAATAATTACATCTCTCTATTATTAAACCCCTTAGAATTCTTAATCTGGTTTTTAAAGTCATTTTATATTAATAGGTTGTTTTTCTATGATAAATGATTTGGATCATGCTATCTGTTCCACAATATACATCTGTGGTGGGTACTTCCTATCCAGGCCAGATGGAATTTTAATGCTAAATATATGTTGATTAATTTTCTATAATTAATTTTCTGTAATCTGAGAATTGGAGAATCTTTTTTCTGTTTTATATCTTAATATTAATGACTGTTTTGCAAAATGTTTTACAAGCCTGATCATTCAGAAAATAGCAAATCTTTAGGTCTAACATTGTTATCTTCATTTCATAGATGAGAAAACGGAGACTTGTATTGTTTCTTTACCTAGGAAGTGAATGTGACACAGACCTGTCTGTAAGGGCTAGCTCTCAGATATGGTACTATATCCCAGATGTAATTCCAGAGTAATTTTTATTTCTGTAATACTGGTTCATCAGAAGAACTAAATCAGGGTAAATTCAGAACTGCACTATTTGTCAACCTAGTGGTACTTAAAATATTATAAAAGGAATTTATAGTAAATATAATAAAACTAGAGGAAATCCAGGGCTATGCAGAGTGGGCAGATCTAGTATTACATGTTAGAATTTTAGCCAACTGATAGGCTGCAAAACTTTCATTTTTTTGGATTTATTTTTATATTTAAATGCCTGAATGCTGATATATTTAAGAACATTATATATGTCACATATTTCATTTATATGTCCTCTATACAATAATGAACTTTCTCTCTCTCTCTCTTAATACAGTGGAATGCATCCTGCTTTTAACCTGGAATTCACCTGTGTGGCTTAGTGTTAGCACAGTGGTGTTTGTCTTCAACCTGTGCGTTGACTAGAAATCAAGAAACGACATGAGGAGATTTGTTTACTGCAAGGTGGTTCTAGCCACTTCACTGATGTGGGTTCTTGTTGATGTCTTCTTACTGCTGTACTTCAGTGAATGTAACAAATGTGATGACAAGAAGGAGAGATCCCTGCTGCCTGCACTGAGGGGTAAGTGATTTTGGAGCAGATATTGCTTTTATGGAGAAGAGAAGGCACTGACTTTTGGTGAAATTTGCAACTCCAGAATAGGAATAGCTGTTTTCATTGACTTAGAGCTTCGCTGCAGAACTGTTAATGCTCATTTGTCCATGGGGAGGCTAATGCACCTCTCTTGGCCATTGCAAGAAATGAAGAGACTGAGATAACCTCTAAGATATCATCCAACCTAATAATTATACTGCTCTTTGACTGTAAGAAAAGATCAATTTAGTGATCAAATTTGACAAGAATTTAAATATAGACTCTCAAAAGCTAAAAAGTCTTTAAAGACCAAGCGTGTGACATAAAACGGAAAAAAATATTCAAAACAGCTAGGGATTTCCAAACTGCAACTGCCCATGGTACCCCTAAAGACTTCCAAAACAGTAAAACAATGTACAGTAAAGATAATTTTTAAAACAAAACACATGTTAATAGCCAGAGTCAGTTTCTGGGCCACTAGATTGTTTGTTCTATGCTAAGTGCAAAAGTTACTGTAACATATATTATAAAATTATTTTAACTCAGTGTTTTATTCTTGGGAAAATTTCAGTGATTAGATAGTGAATTCTAAAAAAAAACACTTTCTATAATTGTTTTTTTATTCAGTACAGGGATAGAAATTCATTTCTTGCAAAGTGATGTCAAACAGTTTTGTCTATGTTCTTCTGGTTGACTTCATAATATATAATTATATTTATATATTTGAATTATCCAGAGTAAGCTGATGCTTCTAAAGTACTAAAAGATATTTGCAAATAGTTTTGTTCTCAGAGAATGAACATGAATTCTCTGCCTAATGAAAGTTTTCTGTGTAAATGTGACAAAAGTTAAACTTTGAATCCCAGTTGAAATTTTTGTACTTTTTTTTCAGAGAAATTTATATAAACTATTGAATTGGGATTTTTTTTTTTTTTTTTTTGGACAGGCAGAGTGGATAGTGAGAGAGAGAGACAGAGAGAAAGGTCTTCCTTTTGCCGTTGGTTCACCCTCCAATGGCCGCCACGGCTGGTGCGCTGCGTCCGGCGCACCGCGCTGATCCGAAGCCAGGAGCCAGGTGCTTCTCCTGGTCTCCCATGTGTGTGCAGGGCCCAAGCACTTGGGCCATCCTCCACTGCCTTCCCGGGCCACAGCAGAGAGCTGGCCTGGAAGAGGGGCAACCGGGACAGAATCCGGCACCCCGACCAGGACTAGAACCCGGTGTGCCGGCGCCGCTAGGTGGAGGATTAGCTTATTGCGCCGCGGCGCCGGCCGAATTGGGATTTCTATATGTACAATAAATTTAATGTCATGTGTTTTTGAGTTTATTTATTGATCAATTGTTCTAATAAATAGAATTTAGTTGAAATTATCTGTATGGCATTTAGGGAAACTAAAGAACATTTATAAACATTAATTGTTGTTCAAAGAATATTTTGGTTAACTTTGATTTGTTTCAGACTGCAAAAATGCTTTTGCTCAGCTGGATAAATTCTGAGTATCTTCTTCCTTCAAAATGGGTCTAAATTTCTTGCTGTAGTTTTTGACTAATACCAAATGTTGATAAAATTGTACTTTGGAAGTGACTGAGACATTTTGTATGCCTTTATACTGTAGGTGTTCAGAGAGGAGAACTTTTGAGTCCATTAGTTTTTGGTAAGTGAAATAGGACTGATTGCTGATCTTTAGTTAAAACTGCAGCATAAATCAGCCTTCTCTGCTTCTTTGCTACAATCAGTTGAGCTGCTGCTTGGCTAAAAGTGAAAATGTGTTTTGATGGATCATATCAGTTAGAATGATTACTTTTCGTTCGTTGAATAGAGACATCTAGCTTGGTCAAAAAAATTATAACCTGATTCAGCAAAACTCTGACATTCATTTCTGCAACAACCAAAAAGTACCATTTTTCCTGATTTAAGTTCTGAATGCTCACTCTTAAATCTTCAAGTATAAAATTTCATGATGCAAGGTATCATTAACAACTTTTCCTTATACTTGTAAAAGGAAGCTCTGTTTCTCTTAATTTTGACTGGTTTCCCTTGGTTTTTGAGTATGTATAACAAAATACTATCGACTAGTTCCTCATATACAACAACAAACAACATTTTTTGAAGTTTGAGAAGCTGGTCCATCTGAGATTAAGGTGTTAGGAATGCGGTATCTGGAGAGGACCTGTACCTAATGAAAGGCTGTCTTCACACTAACCTCACATGGAGAGAACTGAGGGATCTCTCTGGGGCGTTATTTGGCAGGACGCTAATCCTACTCATGAGAGCTCCACCCCCTTGACCTGATCTCCTTCAGTGGCCTCACCTAATAAAACCAACCTAAAACCTTGGAGATTAGAATTTCAACATATGAATTCAGGGGAGACACAAAAATTCAGTCCATTGTACTTGATTAATGATGTATAGAAATATTATTAGTCTTGAAAGAAATAGAAACTCTACTTGGGGATTTTACTTCCATGTTCTGTTATTCATAATTTCAGAATATTAATTGATTCAGGAATGGGTACTGTACATTTAAAATATTTTGTCTACAAGCAGCTGGCATTATGTAGAGTCCACTTTACTGAATTGTTTTGTTATGAATCTGCTTAAAACAGGTTTTCTGATTAAAAAAAAAAAGTTCTGGACCTATGTGTCTCCATTATTAAAACAAAGGTTTTGTCCGATCAAAAAGATAGGGTAAGTGTCAAAGAGATTTCACAAATAAGACCAGTGTAAGCAAATGATGAAGGACAGAATTAAAAGGGAGAGAATGATCCTGTGGGGGAAGCAGGACACACAGCAGACTCATAGAATGGCAGATACCCCAAACAGCACTCTGGCCTCAGAATCAACCCTTGCGGCATTCGGATCTGGCTAAAAGGCCCATGAGAGTCTCACAGGTATGGAAAGCCATGACACGGTGGCAAAAACAACCTAGATGAAAGATCCTGGTGAACAAGACCCCAGCAGAAGGAACAGGCCATCAAGGAGGGAGGTGCCTTTCTCTGAAGGGAGGAAGGAGCCTCCACTGTGATATGGCCTTGACTAAACAAGTTCAGAGTTGGTGAACTCAAGGGGCTTCCATAGCCTAGACAGCTCATGGCAAGAGCCTTGGGTGATTGCTGACGTCATAAATAAGAGTGCCAATTGTTAAATCAGACGAGATCGGGCGCGTTCAGGGTGGTATGGCCGTAGACGCCAATTGTTAAATCAACAATGGGAATCACTGGGTACAGGCTCCCCACGTAGGATCTCTGTCCTTAATGTGTTTTACTATGAAACTTAAAGACAACACTACTAGTCAAACAATACCCTATACCTTGTGTGGTTTTGTGAGTGCAGCCTGTTGAAATCCTTGCTCAGGGTATACTAAGTTGATCTTCAGTATATGAAGGTGACTGAAGATGAAACGTGAAGAAGGGTGGGATGGGAGAGGAGTGGGGGAGGGGAGAGCCGCGGGAGGGAGGGAGGTTGGGGGGGCACAACAATACAAAAGTTGCACTTTGTAAATTCACATTTATTAAATAAAAAAAAAAAGGTTTTGGATTGAGTAGTTTCTAAGATTCCTTTTATTTATAAATTTCAAACAATTTCCAAATATTTGATATTAGTATATACTATTGATTAATTATTGAAATATATTCATTCATTTATTTATCAGTTACCTATATAATGCTTATTATGTGCTAAGTTCTGGGGACATAAGTGAGGTCCCTGAAATTTGGGTTATAAGAGAACTGAGTTACCACCTGTAGTGGAGCTTTTGGTCCAAACTACACATCTCTCTCTTTCTAAATCTCTCTCTCTTTCTCTCTCTCTCTTTCTCTGTGTGTGAGTGCGTGTATGTGTGTGTGTTATGTTCCTTTCTCTAAATATGTGTCCACCTAAAAAAATAAGTATTAGGAAGTAACTAGTTAAACAAGAAAATATTAGAAATTTCCTGGAATTATGATTCTAGTACACCTAGGATTACAGAGGGGATATCACAAATCAGATAACAGATCTTAGTATTTCAAACAATTAAGACTACAGAATTGACACAAAAATCAGATATCTATAATACATTAGAATAAAGAAATATTCTTAAAAATACTAAAAATATTGTTAAATTGAAAATATGGTTAAATTTGACTTTTTTTTTCAACATTGGCTTATTCAAATACACATTAAAGAAAGTGAACAGTAAGTTACAAATTTTGAAAGATATTCAAGTATACAATGGCAAGTTATCAAGTATCTTTTATAATTTAATTGTATGTTTTGTTTTGTCATTTTCCTAGTATTAATAAGAAAAGTCAAATCACCCAATAGCAGAAAATGAACATAAGGTTTGAGTTGGGTTGGTATTTCATGAAAAAGGAAACAGACATGGAAAATAAACTTCTGAAGAGATGATTATCATCAGTTGTATTCCAGGAAATGCATATCAAGGACAATGACATTTCATTTATAACCATTCAACTGGTAGAAATTAAAAAGGATGATGCTTTCTGTTAGAAATAGTGTATCTCTACTTTTTTTGGAAATAACCTCAAAGAACATTTTGGCATTGTTTTTCTGAACATTCTCATATCGCTGAGAATTCATCACTACATAATTTATTCCTATATATACAAAGTTTATTTCTACATATACAAGTATGTTTATTACATAACTATTCATAATAACAAAGCCTTAAAATAAGGTGTAGGCTCATCAATGGAAAAGTTGATGAATGAACATTAATATGCCAATATAAGGAAATATTGTATAATAGTTAAAATATATTAACTACAGAGACTTTCATCAACATGAATGAATATTGAAAACTACAATAGTAAGTAAAGTATAAAAGTTATGTTCCTAAGATTATATGCAATGTAATACCAGTTGAGAAGCTAAAAAACACATGATTTTCAAACCTATACATTTTATTTATTTATTTATTTATTTTGACAGGCAGAGTGGACAGTGAGAGAGACAGAGAGAAAGGTCTTCCTTTTCCGTTGGTTCACCCTC